GGTCCAACGTTTGTGAAACGCTGGACCCCCGCCCACCTGCCCCGCCATTGGTGGGGGTCAAGCGTCTGACAAACGCTGGACCCCTCCAAAAGCACGGCCCGTGGGCAGGGGGTTCCAGCGGTTCTCAAACGCTGGACCCCCGCCCACCGGCCGTGCTTTTGGAGGGGGTTTAGCGTTTGTCAAATGCTGGACCCCTGCCCGCCGGTTGGGTCGAGGGCTGGAATCAATCGTTTGAACATGCAAGCCAAATGCCAATAGTGACGGTCGGTAGGCGGGAGTCCAGTGTTTCACAAACGCTGGACCCCCGCATACCGGCTTGTGCAAGGTGGGGGTCCAGCATTCTACAAAAGCTCTACTTCTGATTACCAACCTCCTCTCCGCCCCCTTGGAATGAGCGCTGTCGGCATGTGCCCTGCGATTGCTTCTGTTGTTTGCCATGTCCCATCTTGTGCTGCGAGAGATAGAAATAGGTGATATTAATGCATCCCTCCTCCTTTTTCTTATGGATATCTCCTCCAGGGAGAGGTCGTAAGGGTCCGAATGATGCGGATAAGAGGTGCTACAACAGGTCGAAACTGTATCGCGACAAGCTGTGGGCTCTCGACTGGGTCGGAGTGGCCGGCGAGGCCGGGTGCGGTGCTGCTGTGTTTTTGACGGAGGACGAAGGGGCGACCTGGTACTGTTGTGGTGGCATCATCAGGTTTGAAATTGACAAGGCCACGGCGGAGAAGGGCAAGGTCGACGAGCGAGACTTAAGGAAGTTCTTCCTCACTTCAGTGTACGATGAGCAGGGTACGTAATGGGTCAAGACAGACCACAAGGTCAGCCTCGACCTTGCTCTGTTCAAGGGGTATGGTCAGAAGGCATTCGCTATGAAAGCCTTCGGCGACAAGCAAAATGGGAATGCATTTAGGATGCTCTTACCCATTGAATTCCTCAGCAAGACCAACGGGTATAGGAAAAGTGGTCAATTCCCGACGGTCGCCGCTAGTCACCAGCTCACATTACCTCTAGTCCCGTTCGATGCTCCTGTCGAGAGCCTCGCAGGCTTATCAACGTGCTCAAACGATCGGCAGCAGGTTGTGTCGACACCGCAACAACCTGTCGGCGGGAAGGAGAAAGTCATTACTTACCAGAGGCGTTTGGGTGGTGGGTCATCGGGAAACCTTCCGAAGAAGAAGGGGCTCGCCAGACGTCCTTCGGATCTTCTTGGAAGCTCTCGTGTTGGTGCCAGCTCGCACTTGCGGGACACCGCTCAACGTGGAATGGACGAGGAGTCCGACGAAGATACGGAGGAAGACGAACGAGTTCGCCAATTGCATTCACAATTGTTAGCGACGCCTAGGCACATCCAGGGCGAAGGCTCTTGCGATGTGAATGTGGGGCGGGAAGCTGGTGGAGGTGTTGATGGAGAATACGACGAGGATGAAGGGGAGTGTAGTAGTGGAGAGCGCTGAGAACAGGTTGGAGGAGCGGTGGACCATATTGAGTGGTAAAAGGTTGCGGCGAGCGGTGGGGTGGGCGGTGGCAGTGTGGGTGGTTCGGAAATGGAAGACGAGGAATTGGAAGACGAAGGAGGAGATGCCGGTGTTCCCGCGGGCCTTACTTCCAAGGGGAGGGGAAAACGCACAACGCAATCGTTGTCGACGCACGCTGCGCCTAAGAAGCAGGTTCGAAGGAAAGTTGTGGACGCTTGGTGAAGTCGATGTGAAATGCAAGTCAAGTGCTCGGATTTGCAAAACGTCACAACCCAAGAAGCCCGTGCGGCCATCAAGGCGCCAGAAATCGGACGACTCCAGCGACGACGCTGAAGGGGTGGCCCCTCGCTTGCTCTCCCTCCCTGACGACGACGAGCAGGAGACGAAGAAACCCAGTGCGGTCAACATGACGGAGTGCTTCTTCCTCGAGTACGATGAGTACGGCAAAAAGAGAAGAGACTCGCCGAGGGTGGTCATTGACGTCGTGCAGATTCTTCCAATTCCGGTGGGAGATATCGCCTTCAACCAGCAATCGCTGAACCCGACCATCGTTGCAGGCATCGAAGCGGCAATCGCTGCATCAACTCGTCCAAGATCCGAGGATGATCCGGCTCTGTGGGATCCACCGGAGTTGATGCTGACTCCGATAAGGCCATCAAAGGACAAGAACAGCCAAGGGATACGCGTCCTTCCACAGGACTTCGATCCTGATAGGGCAGATGAGTATTTCTATTACCCGGTTGTCGGTCAACATACTTCCGAAGCTATGAAAAGAGCAGTGGCGAATAATTCTGCAGCAGTGGAGGTGTTCGGCTTTCGGAATTATGATCGTGTACGGATCATTTATTTCGACGACGACCACACGAACGGGTAAGCGTATGTTTCGACATACGACAACACGAGAGCTAACCGTGCTATGTTGTCGTCGTTCCACCAAGCCTGCGAGGACATTAGAGGATTTTGGGACTCGAAGAAACGGATCGGGCCTGTGGGGAACGTGTCGAAAGGGGATCCCACCGGTGTGATGCACCAGGAAGAGTGGAGGAAATTTATGAGACTTTGCATGGGGAAGTCATGTGACAAATCACTGTGGACCGAGTGTTTGGCTCCGAAGTGCCAACAGGACTGGACGAAGAGAATGAGGGCATACATGAATGTCGCCACATGCAAGGACTGGATATGGACATTGGTAAAAAAGTTTTTTCAGAAGTTCGAGGCAAGGGAGTTGCCGCTACACGACAACAAATGCCCAAAGGACTTGCCGGGGAAGCGGGAGGGGCGGGTGTCGGGCCAACTCACTGGAGAGGTGCAGGGGAAGAAGGAGGTGTTCCATTGCATACCGGCTAGGGACGGGGAACCAAACGCTACGGTGTCCTTCAAGGATCTCGTTCCGTCATGACGGCACGAGAGAAGGAAATTGCATTGCGATTGATGATAAATAAGAAAGTCATCGCCACTACTAGACTGGTTCCTTCTGGGAAGTTGAACACGACCAACCTCTTCAACATCATAATGCGCGAGAGATACATGATGCGTTTGTTCAACTACATCATCTTCAAATCGGAGAACAGAGAGGCGAAAGAATGGACGGACGGGGACTTCTTCGACTATGGAAAAGTGGAGGAAAGGTTTGGTGTGAAGGCAGCCGAATGGGATGAGGAAAGGGATAGGATCCCTTTGGAATACGTCCGGAGGGTTCCAAAAAGCCTCGACGGAGAGCAAGACGAAAAAGGCCTGAAAGGAGCTGACCGGAAGGCCACAGAGGCGCTGTACAGGGACTCGCCTTTCCACTTCAAGTACTTTGTATACCATGCAATAGGAAGAGTGGACTTACTGACAGCTAAGTTGCGCCGGTTGAAGAACGTTGCGCTTCATCTGTGTTGGGAGAAGAAACAGTGACGGTCGACATTGCTACCGGTCAACATGCACCCCAAGGAGTTGCTGCCCTCGGCCGACGAAATTGTGACTGCGGCCACGAACTTGAATTCCAAGGCGGCCATCCTCGATCTCGCCAACCCAAAGGAGTCTTGCATGGTCGCCAACCGATTTTGACGCTCTGCACAAAACGACGACGAAATTGTGCGGTAAAAATTGGATTTTGATTGTTTTTGCCCCGCAAAAACAACATAAGATTGTCATGAAGCAGCTTTACAACTGCGACGATGTAGAGGTGATACCTGAGACTTGAAAGCGTTATCTTGGGGTCGGGACAGCTGTCAGCAAGTACGAAAACTGGCAAGTCAATTATAAAGTCACAATGGCGATCATCCTGCATGCCGAGGGCGGCGACCTCAAGAAGGTCACGAGGGTCCCTAAATCGGAGGCGGAAATAGTGGAGCTAAACGTTAAGGAGGAGCACTTCAAGAGCTGCACAGTGAGACACGGCGGCGAGGAAGAAAACGAACAAGAGGTATATGGGCGGTGGGAACGACATCCTAAACGGTTGCAGAAGTTGTGTAGTTCGTTTCTGCACGAGGATCAGGAGGTGATTCTTATCGGGAAGCCACATGCTGGACTTGTGTAGGAGCTTCTGCGCGCTGGCTATCATGTTTTCACATGCGACTCGTCGTCCAAAGACATTTCGTACTTGACGAAGGCCATTGAAATTCTTGGGAAGGACGTGAGAAACGATTGCACGGCTCAGAGACAGAAGACTGCGCACCGTCCGGACAGGGACATGTACCACAAGTTGGGCAAGAAGAGAAACAAGATGTGGGAATATCTGTTCCATGGCCAACCCAAGTCGCCATTCGAGCATGACTGCATAGTTCGCAAAGCGATGGAACAAGAAGCGTATAGTGGCTACCATAAAGCGGAGATGGGTGCGTTTGCGATGTTCGTGGCGAGATGTGAACAAATGAAGTTCACAGCAAATCAGGCAATGCTGACGTACGAAGAGTACAACAACATTGCCAAAACAACCGATGCATGGAATCCAATCGAGAGCGACGAGGAGACCGAAACATCGGACCTCGAAATCGAAGAGCGAGTGAAATGTTTGCGAGAGGGAGTGCAAAGTGTGCCTGCATGCAGCGTGCCGAACGAGAATCGAGAAGAAGGTCGCACGAAATCGAGAGGTGCGAGCAGTCCAACGCATGACCTGACCGACAATGCGAGTTCCATTGAACAGATGCAAACAGATTCGCCTACGCCCCTCGGAGCACTTGAGAATACGTTGATTCATGACAATCGTCATGGGTTCCAGGGGAGGTCTCGCACTCTTCAAGGAAACACTGAACACAACATGCTGGCAGACGCCGATGAGGATGACTTGGCGGTTCCAGATGCCCTTCCGAGGCTGATGCCCGGTGATGATATTCCCGATCACATTGTGCAGGCCAGTGAACGGTCGTACTTCATTGAAGACAAGGTGCCAGAAACGATGTCTCAGAAGTGGGGGCATCACATTTTGTGGCATACAAACGTATTCAAGCCATGCATTTTCGAGGGGGAGTGGATGATGGCATTGCATCTAACATCAGGATGAAAAGTCAAACTGAGACTGGCAGAAGTACTGTGGCTGAAAATGACGAAGCGAGAAATCGTCTTCCGTGTTTGGTGCGAAAACGACGGAGCGGATGAGGCAACTACAAAGGAGAAGGCTCACTTGCTATTCGATTCTCTGCACTCCAACAATCAGCTGGAATACAAACACAAGTTCTATGACTTGCCGTCAAACCGGTCATACAAAAAAATTCCGATGAGATGAATAAAGTGTTGGATGAGGCGGAGAAGGACGGGAAGAGGAAGCTTAAGGGATCAACCACGTCCCTGACGGTGATTAATTGTATATCATTAAGCGATGAAGGGGTAGACGTACATGTAGAGGGGTGCGATGACAATGAGAATGCAAGGGACAATGTCGATGAACAAAAGGTAGTGGATGACTGCGGTCAACCTGCGAGACGATCGACAAGAGAAATAAAGAAAAAACACCCGATTAATGTGTAGATATATGCAGAGGCTGAGTTCAGGTTGACGTGACACTCTGTGTAAGTGTGTGAGTGTTTGTACGCAACTCAGATAAATATTTTCAGCGGGAATTGGAGAGGACATCAGATAACAGTGTCAATCATGATCTCTCTCTCTCTCTCTCTCTCTCTCTCTCTCTCTCTCTCTCTCTCTCTCTCTCTCTCTCTCTCTCTCCTTATCTATCTATCTATCTATCTATCTATCTATCTATCTATCTATCTATCTATCTATCTATCTATCTATCTCTATATATCTCTCGATCGACTGATCGATCGATGAATCTAACGGAAGTGTGATTAATAGCGAGGGCTCTCATCGAAATATACGTGCACTATGTCATAAAACACTGGTAATGCGGTCGATGAATATAATGAAGAGATGTCATTGGTAAAGGATTTTTTTCAAAACTTGCTCGTTTAAGGTAACTCCTAGTTAATGTCATTGATGAACATTATGGAAGTGCATGAAAGAAAATAATGGAGTGTATTGGTTTCAACTACGTAAATTACTAGTTCTAATAAGCACCCCGCTATCTTTTAAGGTAGCCCTTACTATGCATTACTACAACAAAATGAATGCAATGAACATGACTAGAAATGGATATTGAAACATTAGCTCACATAAAGACATGGCGCGTTGTCATGTGCAGCGCAAACGACAATGGAGGATAACCGGTGGTGCAAAAAAGGATGGACCGTCCACTTGGCAACAACGAATTTGACGGAGAGAGAGATGGAGGCCCTCACACGATTGTGAGTGAAACTTGGGGATTGCGACATCATAGCAAGTTCATTCAACGAAGACACAAAAGAATAATTAACGATGACAGTCAACGATTTTAGCTTGCTAATGATAGAAAAAAAGTGGTTGAACGAGGAAATAGTTAATGTTTATCTTAACCTTGTCCGACTGGACAATGAGTGTCGTGTGAAACATCATAATTGCGACTCGAAGAACGAAAACGTCGTTAGAACAGAAAACGGGCGCATTCCTACAATAGCAGTTCTAAGCTCATTTTTTTTCGCAAAACTATTTGATAGCAATATGAAGTTCAAGTACGAAAATGTTCGCAGCTGGTTCACAGAGGTCGTGATTAGCGACATGGATTTGATCATTGCACCTTTTGACGTCGCGCACAACCAACATTAGACACTCGTAGTGACAGACCTTAGGCGTATGAAAATTGAGTACTACGATTCGCTGACGCCGGATGTTGAACTCGCGGCGAAGGTGACAGCGGGGTTCACAAGATTTCTGTACATGAGGTCGGTCGAACAAGGTCAAGAAATTGACACGAAAAACTTCAACGATATCTGGGAAGTGGAAGGCATTCCAAAGCAGCGCGACTTCAACGAGTGCGGTGTGTTTATGCTGACATATGCATCACTATTGGCGAGAGGGTTTCTTCTACCTTTCACGTTCACATCAGATGACACAAAGAAAATACGATGCCGGATAACTTTCAACGTAGTTGTCGTGGAGTAGAGAAATTTGTTCCATCTACAGTATAGACGTTCAAACACATGAAATGACCATGTAGTGATCAGAAATAGATCTGATAAAGGAGAAGAAGAGTTTGTAAGTGTAACGAGGATTAATTATGCGGTTCACGATGAATGTAACTGGTCGTGCAATAAGGACATCTTATGAAAGGTCATCTTATCTCTTATCTTCGAGGCTCCTCTCCTCCTTACCCCTTACCCCTTACCCGTTACCCCTTACCCCC